TCTCTCTGGAGTAAAATTTGGAGTAATTCCTTCTCTGCCACTGCGTCAAAGTCTTTATTACCCACATCTGCATGATGCCTTTTCAAGAGTGCAATAATTTCAGATGTGACTGAAGTGCAACTATCCATTTTCCTTCTAATGTCTTGAGATGGTGTGGTCAATGCACGCAAAGTCTCATATTCTTGCCTTAGTTTTGATTCATATTTCTCTAAAACTATGATCATTTCACTTAGCTCAGTTTTAGAGCATTCTTCCTTAAGTTTGGATCTAATAAACTGAGCTTCTGCCTTAAAGTTTACATATGTGAACATAAACTTTCTTTCCCTTTTTGCTATTTCATCCCTTCTAAACTCAATCATTTTTTCTGTTGGCCTTTTTACTCTTTCTGATGGTCTTACCTCTTGATCATCTTGAGATGCTGGTTCAGGGAGCACTGCCTTATGTGTCTGCATTAATATCAGCTATACGCTTTTCAATTTTTTGTCTTTCGGCATTTCCAATTTCAGTTTCTAATCTATTCTCTAATTGTACCTTTTCATCTTGCAGCATGAGGATTACTTCCTCTAACAAACCAATATTTGAAGTACCCAATTCCATCCTTTTATATTAAAACATCACAATTAACATATCCTTAAAATTCAACCACAGATCCAACATTACCACACACTGAAGATGACACAATACCAAACTTACAAACTATAAATTTAATTGTCCGCTTTATATCAGAAAATATCAATGTCGCTAATCTCTTGTGGCCGGACTGCAGCGCCGAATCCCCACCGCAATTTCTCTGTGCTGACCTGGTAGATTACTAGTGTTGTAATCAAGACCGCCTAAACCGAGACCAAGACATTGCCGAGACCGGAAGGTATCAAGACCAAGACACTGCCGAGACTTGAGGGTACCAAGACCAAGACCAAGACACACTAAGGCGAGACCAAGATCAAGACTGGTCGAAACCGAGACCAAGACCAAGACCGAAAACAGACTAGGGATAGAATAAACATCACATTACTCAGATCAACTGTAAAGAAAAAAGGCATTGCTGTAAAGTGTCATTACTCGTTAAATCAAATTCATGTTATCTTTTCAATTATATTGTCCATATGTCTCTCATTTAAAATCTTCCAGATTTGTCATAGTTACGAGGCCTGATGGAAAATAATATTCTCAGCAATCCTCTCCTATAACCATTTTATCAGACTTCGTCAAGGGAAAGAGATGGGATGTACTGTACCAGAAAGATGTTCATATTAAGTACCAGGGAGAGAGGCCTCGGGTAAGCTATGAATACGGCTATGTGATGATCCT